ACAGTAGCTGTGAAAACAGAGTGAATTCCTCAGGGAGGCGCCAGCCTCATCTCTTCCTCGCCCTTCTGGAGACGAAAGAGGATGCTTGCCTCCCTGAGTGTGGCCTTCATAATTCCATTCCATCACACATATACTATGCTTTGATTTTGACAAGTAAATCTTTCTTGGAAGATCATTCTGCAAATTAGGAGGCAGCTGATTGCTTACCATTGATCTGGGCTGATTCTTTCCAACTAGAATGCTATTTTACTTCTACAAACCACAGTTATTTCTGGTTTCCTAATCACAAGGAAAGCAGTGGGAAAGATAGGGATTGCTCATCTAACTTTAGCTGCCCTTTTAGAAGTACAGGTAGTTCTCGCTTAACAACCACAGTTGGGACTGGCAACTCCATTGCTAAGCAATGCGATTGTTAAGCGAGACATCACATGACTGCAACTTATGATTTTACTGCTGGCTTCTCTATTGACTCTGCTTGTCAGAAGCTGACTGTGAAGAGAGCAAATGATGATCATGTGACTGTGTGGACCCTGTGATGGTCATAAACACCCACTGATTGCGAAGCACTTGAATCTCTATCATGTGACTGCGGGGATGCTGCAACAGTTGTAAGTGTGAGGACTAGTCATAAGGTTACTTTTCCAGTGCCATTGTAACTTTGGGTGGTCGCTAAACAGGGCAGTCATTAAGTGAGGACTACCTGAATCTGCATCTCAGGCTCCTAAGAATCAGTCATTGTTTGGGAATCAAACACTTCTTTTTTTGTTATAGATCCAGCCCAGATCTATCAGATTTCATCCATCTGTAAGCCAAGAACAAGAACACATGGCCTAATACTAATACTAAATAACTGCACTTATAATTTAAGCTGCTCCTGTTTCAGGCTTATAATGGCTTGAATATAAGCTGGCTTAAGAAAGTCCTGGGATATTTGGGCTGTTTGGGACCTAAGGGTAAACTCCTTCTCCTTGAAGAAATTGTGAAAGTGCAACAGTAGGGTTTAAAAAAAAAAAAAAAAAGCACAGGGAAAAAGGAAGCTCAGGGAAAGAAAAAAAAGTAATTAAAAGTAATACAAATAAAAACAAAATCATATCAGCAACTTTCTCTTTACAAAAAAATAATTATAGCTATTGTGCTATTATAGCACCCATA